CCCTTCGAGCAGTCAGACCAGCATCACAGAAAGTGAGATATCCTCCCCAACCCACAGGACAATAATTATGAGCACTGATGCATCTTCCATGACTCTATCCTCCCCCAAAAGTGACAATGCCTCATCCAAAGCTCCAACCACAAGCATTACTAGAGGTGGTATGTCCTCCTCCAGCAGTCTGACCAGTGTCACAGCAAGTGGGACATCCTCCCCATCCACCAAGAATACAACAATAATGACCAGTGATGTATCCTCCATGACCTTATCAACCCCTTCCAGCAGTCAGACAAGTATCACAGAAAGTGAGATATCCTCCCCAACACACAGGACAATAATTATGAGCACTGATGCATCCTCCATGACTCCATCCTCCCCCAAAAGTGACAATGCTTCATCCCAAGCTCCAACTACAGGCATTACTGGAGGTGGTATGTCCTCCTCCAGCAGTCTGAGCAGTGTCACAGCAAATGGGACATCCTCCCCATCCACCAAGAATACAGTAATAATGACCAGTGATGCATCCTCCAGGACATCATCCACCCCTCAAAGTGAAAGCTCCTCATCACAAACGCCAACCGCAACCAACACCAGAGGTGGTATGTCCTCTTCAAGTAGTCTGACCAGCATCACAGCAAGTTGGATATCCTCCCTAACCACATGGAGTACACTTATGACCAGTGATGCATCCTTCATGACTGCACCCACCCCCAAAACTGACACCTCCTCATCACAAACTCCAGCCATAACAACAACAGGTGTTATTTCTCCATTAAGCAGTCTGACCAGCGTCACAGCACGTGAGATGTCCACCCCAACCACCCACATTACACCAATTATGACCACTGATGCATCCTCCATTACTCCATCCACCTCCCAAAATGAAAGCTCCTCATCCAAAGCTCCAACCCCAACTAGCACCAGTGGTGGCACATCCTCCTCTAGCAATCTAATCAGTGTCACGGTAAGTGACATGTACCCCCCAACCACCCAGAGTACAACAATTATGGCCAGTGATGTGTCCTCCATGACTCCATTCTCTCAAAAAACTAACACCCCCTCATCACAAGTTCCAACCACCACCTTCTCCAGCAGTCGGACTAGCATCACAGCAAGTGGGATATCCTCCCCAACCACCCAGAATGTAACAATTATGAACAGTGATGCTTCCTCCATGCCCTCATACACTTCAAAGAGTGACATCTCCTCATCAGAAACGCCAACCAAAGCCGCCATCACAAGTACTCTGACTGGTGTCACAGCAAGCAGGATGTCCTCCCCAACCACCCAGATTACAACAATCATGACCAGTGATGCATCCTCCATCAGCCAATTTACCCGCAAAACGGACACGCCCTCATCAGAAGCTCCAGCTACAACCAGCACCACAGGTAACATGTCCTCCTCGAGTACTCTTACCAGTGTCATAAGAGGGACACCTTACTTAGGGGCTTGGACAACATCTCATGCAACACACAAAGTATCTTCTCCTAGCATGCTTAACACAACTGGGGATACAGGTGACATGCCTTCCCTTGGCACTCTGCCTACAGCTAACATAACAAATGAGGTGTCTCTGGGTATCCCATTGGGAGAAGTGTTGCATCTTCTAATACTTTGGTTACCCCAACTGTTTTGAAAGCACCAGCTTCTTTAACCACTACAATCTTGACAAGCTTCACACTCTCCAATACAGCCTTAACAGGTAATATTTTGTAATCTATCTCAATTCCATTTACCAAAAACCACATTTTTCTTCCTGATTCGTCCATGTATATTTTCCAGTACGCCCACTTTGTTTCTTTATAGTCGTATCAGTGATTCTACTCTGATTTCTACCACTGCTATTTTTTTTAAAATCATTTTCACTCAGTCTACAAACACCAGAGCCATATCAAATTCTGTCACATATACCTTAACCACATACATTTATCAGCTTGTAGATCTCCTGACTCAGCATGATCATAATCATTGCTCCTCAAACCACATTACCACAACTACCTAAATGTTTCACATTTTACTATCTCAACTTTCAGAATATTCAGATAGATAGATAGATAGATAGATAGATAGATAGATAGATAGATAGATAGTAGATAGGTGATAGATGGTAGATAGATAGATGATAGATAGTAGATAGATGATAAATAGATGGTAGATCGATAAATGATAGATAGATAATAGATAGATGATAGATGGATGATAGATAGAAAGATAGATGATAGATAGATAGATAGATAGATAGATGATAGATAGGTAGATAGATGATAGATAATAGATAG